TTATGAAGAAATAGAAACTGAACTGAACTTTGAAATATGAGTAACTACCAAGTTTAGAATACCTAGCTGTCTTTTCGTCAGATAAATAACTTTACACATTGGTCTTGTGTCATACTGATATTGAACCCTTTATGCCTTTCATTTTTAATTGTGTTACATTATATCTTTGCTTATAAAAAGCATTTGAAGAATTCTATCCTCAGGGTTATTTTGGCAATACGAAATATTTTTTGTGTGGATCCCCCAGGGGTTTCATCTATTTATTAACATTGGTGGTGTTTCAATTTTCTTCAGCTTGAAAGATCTAACCATGTGAGCCGGACAGAAGTCAGCAACAACCATGTCTTGATTTACCTGGATAAGGTAAGAGACCTTCCAGTCTATTTGCAAAAAAAAAAAAAAAAAAAAAGGTAGATAATAATCCTCCAAGGGAACATCTGAGAAGGTAAATGCATTTTAGAAACATCACTTCCATGCTAGAAATTTCAGAATTCTAATGTTAACTCTAAAAGAATGTTCTCCTCTCCTTTATTTATATTTCACCAGGCATTACGGGTAGAAATGGCTTATTAGGATCTTGGGATATGAATATCCCTAAAACCCCATAAGCAAGAAATCTTCACAGAATGTGTTTATTATGTTGACAGGTTATTTTGATACTCAGTAATATAAGGAAGTAGCACTTGTGATTAGTCAATTATTAGTTAGTTATCAACATAACAACAGTATGAAAGGGAAAAAAACTGTCCATCTCCACAAGGACTTGAACCATAAAATAATAAGACCAGTTCACCAATAAACCAATCTGATTTTATAGATACGTGTGGTAGGAGAGTTTGTTCATGCACATGTTGATGGGAATTATGGTTTACACATTTTATGAAATTTAAGCCTGGAAAGATCAACCTTTTAGATGCCTCCTTGAGTCTACACAAGTATTCCTGCAAGACAGAGAATTGAAGCTATACCAAATCTCTGGATAGTTAAAAATGAACACAGTCATCCAATAAAAAGTATGTATCATTTACCCCCATGAATGGAGCTATGTATCGGCATTGACAGAAGTATATGTATTGTGTTAGTTTTTTAAGAAATAATCTGGAGAATTTATCATCCCCTCTGAGAGCTTTCTGCACAATTTAATTAAGGACCCTATAGTGTGCCGTAGGATGATAAAGCTTTTCCCCCAAAAAACAGGTGAATACTTAAACTAATTCGAAGAGAGAAGAAAGCTTCCTGAAAGGTCATTTAATTGACTTTTGCTTTCCAGGTGTCAAATCAGACACTGAGCTTGCTCTTCACGGTTCTGCAAGATGTCCCAGTAAGAGATCTGAAACCAGCCATAGTGAAAGTCTATGATTACTACGAGACGGGTGAGTGACAGTGATTTTCACATAGAAATATTTAATTCCTGATCACAGAAATTCCGATTTGGGAGATGTGTTGGGGCTATTTATTACATTAAGTAATTACATTCGCACTTCATTTTGTCTCCATCGAGTCTGATGCTCCTCTTTTTGTCTCTTATACACACATTGTAGAAACAACCTACATTATAAATGTATCGACTACTAATACGAAACACCTGTGGGATATTCAGTTCCCTTTTCATCAGATAAATAGACTGTATGACTATGAGATTTAAGTAAGCGGAACATCTGAAGAGTCCTTCAGGAGTTTGGGATAAAAGAAAATATAAAACACTGTACTTGAAAGGAGAATATAAGGTAGCAAGCAATGCATCAAATGAGTGATGCTAACGTTTTTGGTACAACAATACTGTTCTTCCCACAACAAACTCCTTCCTTGGCCTGTATGCCACAGATGTTTGCTTTCTTCCTCACTTCATGTAATGATTTCTGGTTTTTTGTTGGTTTTTTTCTTTCCCAGATGAGTTTGCAATTGCTGAATACAATGCTCCTTGCAGCAAAGGTAAGTCACTCACACTCCTTCAAAAGGCAGCCAGAGCTCCTGCAGCTTGTCCTCCAAACCTTCTCCTTCATAAAACCCTGGGTAAATATTTGTCAAAAACATCAGCTTACTCACCCTGCACATTATTATAGAAAAACACATTTACTGGAGAGGGCCACTGACTCTTGTCAATCCTCAGACAGTCCATAGGATTGCTTATGGGTAAAGATCTGTAATAGATTTGGGTTCCCACTGTACTGATTAGGTTTCTTTGGGCACTATGCCCCTCAGAACTAAGGGAAAGAATACTCTCTGCTCATGGAGACCCAAGTCTGTCTTAATTTTTTTTTGTTTCCAATATCACAGATCTTGGAAATGCTTGAAGACCACAAGGCTGAAAACTGCTTTGCTGGAGTCCTGTTTTCAGAGCTCCACAGAAGACATATGTTTTTGTATCTTTAAAGACTTGATGAATAAACATTTTTTCTGGTCAATGTCTTTGCCTGTTTCCTGTTCATTCAATAAATATCTTTTTACATTTCCATATGATTCCCAATAGAACACCGAGATAAAACTTAAAGGAATCAAGTGCTGAGGGACTTCAGCATACCAAAAAAAAAAAAAAAAACAAAACAAAGATACAGTGATGTTGGTATGAGTAGGCTTCATGTAAGGACTGTGGGGAAAAAAGAAAGAATTGGGTTATATACTAGGAAGGTGGTTATGGAAATACCCTATGAAAAACCCGAAGAGTGAATTTTTATGAGAAAACAAGACTGGCTTCACCAGAAAAGACTCTTTACATTAAAATGAAGTAGAATGGAATACAACATTGAACAGGTCATAATGGGAGGCAGGATAATTGGGACCTGACCTGAATTGGGAGTTGTGTGTCCTATGTTACACCAAAATCTGCCACTGATGAGAGTCATCAGTCAGTTAACCTGGGGTCTCAGATTCAATAACAGATGAGCTGAAAATAATGAAGGGAGGGTTCATGCAGAAGCAAGTTTTCTCAGAAGGAGGAATGTGTATGACTCAAAGTCCAAATAGGAGTATTATATTGGAGCATCTTTCTTCTGGAACTTTGAGCCAGGACGAAAAAATAGCTGTAAAGTCAAGGAGATATTCTGATGCAGAAATCAGTTCTCACAACATCTGATTGAGGTCTGATGTCTCACAACATTTCTTTAGTCTATTTTAAAAATATATAATTTTCTTTGCAGTAAGTATTGCAACATATATTTCCATTCTATGGAAGGAGAAGCAAAAGCTTCAGGAGTTTTTGAAGAAGTTGGAAAGATTAAAGCGGGAGGATTGAGCCAAGAGAGTCTGAGGACAATGCTAGGAGTCCTACTCTTCATTTGGCACAAAAATGACAATGTTCAGTTAGGCAGAAGGTGAGTATGGATTGTATAAACTAAGAACTGGAAAGGACTTTGAAGTTCAAGCAATCCTTAGCTCTGTCTCCAGGCTAAGCAAAATAAGAAATAAAAGCTATCACTTTTGTGTGGTGCTTATTCTGTAAGCACCACCCAGATATTAACATATCAGCATCATGGGATCCTTGAGGTGTCACTTTCCTGGCCAGTTTGGTGGCACCTTTGCCTGAGTTTTTCTCTGGGCCCACTGGGCTACTTCTGCCCACTTGCACTTGCTGGCAACCTGGGTCCCGGATCCAGGAGAGACTGAGACAGGGGTGCAGCGGAGAGGGGCGTGCTAGGGGTGTGTGAGCAAGCGTGGCCACCGTGCAGTCACGCACACCAGCTGCTGCCTGGGTTGGGCAGCTCCAAGCACCAGCACCGGCTCTCTGTGAGGAGGCTGGACCAGGCACACAACAAACAGCTTCCCCCTGGACCAGGTGCACCACAAGCAGCTTCCCACAGTGGCACTGGGGAATGCAGTGACATCAACCAGGGCCCCAAGGAGAGAGTCACAGCCCGGGCTCAAGGAGCTCCCAGGTCTGGGCAATCCAGAGGGCCGCAGCTCTTCTCTCGCTGTGGGGAGCAAGGGGCACGTTGCAGCCCTGTTTGTGTTACGGCTGTTTTAGCCTTGCTGTGCGGCTCCTCAAGCAGACAATTGGAGAATGAGACAGATGAAGAGGAGCATTATTCAGCAATGGAACAGAAGGATGAGGAAGACGAAGAGGAAGGAGAACTGCAGTTAGTAGCTCCTTTCCACAGCCAGGGTGTCCCAACGAATGTTCAGCTTCTATCAGAAAGGAGACCCTAGAGTGAACTGCTCCTCTGCAAACAGGTCTTCCCATTGAGTGTTCAGCTTTCAGTAGAGAGGAGGTCCTAGAACGGGTAGTTTCTCTCCACAGGCACCTCATCCGTTGTCTGCCCATCCTCTCTTCCAATCTAACTGAGTCCACGTGATTTTATGAGCCTCAGAGGGGAGGAAATGCGTGCCGATTGGTCCATGGGCAGCCACGGGTGGGCCCAGGGAACAGCACCCCAAGTTCCCTCTCTGGTCTGCAGGCTTCAGGCCCTCCCCGGCTTGAGGGTGGGGCTTCACTGGGGACCCACCCCCTTCCACCCAGGAACCTGCCTCCTGCTCCCAGGCTATTCATGCCAAGGGGCGCCTGTAAACCAGTGCCCAGCTATCTTCAGCCCCCTCTCGGCCTCCCTCCCATGCCTGTTGTTGCCCAAGTTCCAGAGGGGGCGGAGACGGCAGGGGGCTGGCGTGTCAGTGCTGTCCTGAGCGTGTGCACACCCAGCGAGGCTGTGACAGTACGCAGGCTCGGCCGGATCTTGCCTGAAGTCAGAGCGGGTGCTAACAGTGGAGAGAAGCCAGGCAGCGGGAGCAGGCACCCTCGAGCCCGCAGTGGGCAGGGGCTTTGCTGGGCCTCCGAGAGCACAGAAATGTCCACAGCCGCGGCAGGGTGCCTGCAGCTGCACCCAGGGAGTTCCTGCTCCACCAGTTGGGAAGGGGCGGGGCTCCTGCTTGTCCCTGGCTCACCTGCTTCTGAGAGGGCAGCTCCGGTGGCGCCTCCTTGCAGCCTGGGGTGATGGGCGGGAGCGGGGCGGGGAGGAGAGGGGCGTTCCAGGTCCTCCTTGGGCCCAGGTCGGCGTCCGGAGCAGGGGTGACGTTGCTGCAAGTTCTTCCAGTGGTCCCAGGGCTCAGGGGCAGCCCAGGACTCTCCCTTGCCCGGCTCACGGCCCTGCCTGGGGGGCGCCTCCGGGAGCAGTTCGCGGGCCCTGGGGCCTGGCCGTCAGGAGCGTCTAGCTCGGCGGTCACCCCAATGCCGGGCGGACCCTGGAGACGCGCCCCGGGCGGCACTACTCAGAGCTTCCTCCCAAGGCCCAGGAACGCGGCGCTGTAGGGATGTGCGCGGTGGCCACACCGCTGGCCGGGTTCCCAAAGCGGGCCCCGTTCCCACTTCCCACCCCAGCCCCAAAGACTGGCCCAGTTCCGCGCCCTGGGCCCAGCCCCCGCGCTTTGTGTGCGAGCACCGCACCGCCCCGGGCCCAGCTCCGCCTTGGGGCACCTCTCTGTCTGCCCCTCCGTGCCCGACTACATTGCTCCCCCTCCAGCGGGGGACTCAGCCCGGTCCATCGCGGCGGCTTCCAGGGCGGCAGGCTCCGGAGGGACTCCCGAGGCCGGCTCCAGGGACTGTTCCCCTCCTCCCCACGCCCACCGCGGCGGGCGGGAGCGGCGACGTAGGGCCAGGGTCCGGAGCGGCGGAGGCTCCGGACCTGGGAGCAGGTGCCCCCATCTGGCAACGCGAGGATGTTGGCGGCGGAGTCGGCTGCCTTGGAGTCTCAAGGCACAGGGGACGCGAGGCACAGAGGTCCCACAGCAGTCACTGCCGCTCCCGCAGCTGCTCCGCCTCCGCTGCCCGCCCCCCCGCGCTGCACCTGGCGTGATGGCAGCTCTGGACGCTCCACTGCAGCCATCATTAGCCTTGTGAAATAGGTACTACCTTACCAAATGAGGAAACTGAGGCAGAGACATGTAATTTGCCCAAAGTTACTAAGCTAGTAAGTGACAAAGCTAGAATTCAAGACCAAGAAGTCTAGCTTCCACGCTCTTAACTTCCAACCATGGTGACACCTCAAACAACTTCAGACAAAAAGGCCAGGAGACAGCATATTTCAGAGCTTAATAAACATTATAATTAGCTGTCAAATTAAGTATCAATCCAGGGCACAGAACTTAAAAGAAATCAGAGTATGGCTATGGGAACAAGACAACAGGATTTTAATAAATTTTACCTCTTAGTTCTAGTTTCTTTGTTCATATGGAAATCGTTACTGAAACTGTACTTTAAGGATATGCTTGTTGCAAATCATTAGCTGTGTCACTGACCAAGAGTGTTTATTCCTGAAATACTAACTGATTGTCTACTATCTGCCAGGCACAATATCTCATGCTATAATACAAAATTAAACAAAATAGGATTCCTCCCTTAGAAAAACTCACCGCAGAGTAAAATAAAAAGATACACTTCTGGGTCATTATAATGATCAGGTGCTCAAGTTATTTATTGCCCCGGTGGACTGGAGATACAATGGCCTTCTCAAGTTTTGGGGTATTACACTCAAATTCATATGTGATACTGGAGAAAGGGCCTAATTACAACTAAAAATGGATTTCCCACCAGCCTGGTGGCATGGGAATCTTGGAATTAAAATTACGTAGAATTTTTTAAAGTGACGTATCTTCTACATCTGATTTTGTGAACTGAAGTTTATTCTTTCCAGGAAAGCATATGGATACATGACAGGAAATGAAATGGAGACTTGTTGGGGTCAGTTTTATATAGAGTTTGTATTTTATTTTGAAATATGCTATGGTGCTATTCTCTTGCATTTTCTTATATGTGACTCACCACCAACCCTATATTCCCCCATTTCAGGCCAGTTGGTCATAAGCATCCATTTGCCTCAGAGAATATTGGGATGTTATGACAAGAATACAAAGCTGGAAAGAAATACAATGTTTGAGTTTACCCTGCAAGAATAAAAAGAATATAATGGTTTTAAATTTATTTAGACCCTATTGTTTAATCAAGAATTCTGGCCAGGAGCAGTGGCTCACGCCTGTAATCCCAATGCTTTGGGAGGCCAAGGCAGGAGGATCGTTTGAGGCCAAGAGTTTGAGACCAGCCTGGGCAAATCATTGCTCAAGAAAAAAAGGTCTGATTTAGTCTTTTCGTCTTTACAACTTTTTTTTCTATTATGGAGTATTCTCTCGAATACTTTATGTCCATCCACGTTGTCTGAGACATGGCACTTTAACATTCTAGTTATGCCGTAGCTGTCATTTTACCCTAAGCCATTAGTAGTACTGATCCACATAAAATTGGGCTGTTTAGGTGTTTAATTGTTTAAATGTATAATATATCTGATATATTTATATATTGTATAAAAAATCACCTAACACAATAGATATTTAATATATCTGCTATATATATATCATATAACATATAATATAATAAATAATTTATGTTTATTATAAATGATAATATAATATACTATAATATAAATATAATAAATATAAATTATAATATAATATACTATAATATAAAATATAATAAATATATAAAATATAATAAATATAAAAATAAATAAATATATCAGATATATTATACATCTATTGTGTTAGGTGATTTTGCCCAACTGTAGGCTAATATAAGTGTTCAGAGCATGTTTAAGGTAGGACAGGCTAAGCTATCATGTTCTACAGGTTAGGTATAGTCAATGTATTTTTTTTTTGAGACAGAGTCTCACTCTGTCACCCAAACTGGAATTAATATATTATACATTTAATATATAATATCTTAATAATTATATAAATGTATTTTATTTTAAATCATATCTTAAATATCATCTCTCTCAATATATAAGGTCCAAAATTTATCCTTGAACTCTCTTGATGTTTCTGTTACTGTTGGGTATTTGGAGTATTTTGGGTCTGTTCATGAACATGATAAATACACCGTTAGGACAAGACACTGTTTAAAAGAAAATATCCACATAGTCGTTTTTATAAATCATAAACACATTCAAGAAATAATTTGTAGTAATCACATAGGTTATTTTCTTTTCACTGGGGATCATTCAAGAAAGAAGAGAAAAATAATTCCCCTTTATTTCTTATATTTTATGGGCATATAATCTGCCAAGTATGAAGGGCATCACTGACTTCATTCCAAGTTTCAGGAGGAGGGAGAAGAAAAAGACTGTATCAAATAGGATGACGTCTTTACTCATATACTTAATGTCACACAGCAATGAAGAGAATGTTTGCAACTTTATTAAGGTAAAGCCTATATTATCCATTAATATGCCTTGTGAATTATTTAGGGGTAATAGAATACTATATTGGTAAATAGAGTACATACATTTATATGTAGTAAATATAGTACACAGTAAATACATTGCACTACTCAGCCTTGCTATGCTAAAGAGTATGAAAAACAAAATTCAAAGTCTTCAAAGAATAAAATTATACTATTCCACTACTGCACTGAGTATTCTGTAACTCTTCTTGGTTAGGTAAAACTATAATGTCATGACTTAGGTATTCTACTTTTATATAATTTTTAAATATTTACGTTTGGTTGGGTAATCATTCTTTTTCCAGGACATGGGCTTAGAGGTGTTCACCAACTTAAAGATCAAACGTACCAAATTATGTCCTTACTATATAGTGTTCCATGATCTAGGTAAAATAAGAAATCACTTTATGTTTTAGAATAAATGCTAATTATTTAGCAAAGATGATAAAAATGAAATGGTGCAGCAGGCCTATTGCCCATATGAGAGAGACAGAACCCAGTATTGCATGGGCCAAATTAATCACCCAAAGTCATGTAAATGGTAAGTTGCAGAACCAGAACTGAAGCCACTTCTTTTGATGTGTTAGACACAACATTGCCACCCAACAACAACAATAAAAAGACAATAAGATAAAATGTAATAATTATTACAATAGGTATACAATGTACACACAAGAAGATAACGCTTCTGTGGAATATAAAAATATTTCGTAAAGAAGATGCATCATGTGGAACAGAGAGAATTTTGACACACGTATGAGAGGTAGGAGAGGGAAAAAAAACCATTTGAAGCAAAGGGAAGAGTATCAAGAGAAAGAAAACCATTTTTAAGTCAAATTACACTGCAAATAAAGTATAGTTACTCTATTGGCTCACTCCTTCCTTTGTAAACTTTCAGTTTTGCTCTTAGGCTATTTACTTTCAGAGTCCACAGTCAAATATTTTCCCCTCTGATTGTACCCCGGCTTTTCAACACTCTCTGAAATATTGTCTTTCAATAGATTATTTTTATTGCCATCGTTTTTTAAAAAGACTGAATTAGGAGCTAAAAGGCCTCTTCTTCAGGCCTCAATCTCATTAGTAAAAATGAAAGAGTCAACATAATTATTTTCTAAATTCCCTTCTTACATTATACAAGAATATTCTAAATTCCTTTCTTGTATTATACAACAATGATGATTGAGATATTCATATGAGATATGATGTTATAACAACACATTTCCAGAATAATGACTACTTCCCTATAGTCTTTGATTTCTAAGCAACATCAAAGCACTAGTCTATAAACTCATGGCACAGCCAACCCATTTTCAAAACAGCATTCCTTTTTGTCCAAAATATAACCTTACACAATGCATTTCAAGCAGAAGATGATACAGATTTTGAACATGTGCTTCTCAAATGATTGAATTGCAAGGATAGACATGTAATTAGGTTTACTGATAAAGAATAAAGGAAAAGACAATAATAATGAGTCTTACCTTGCCACCCAGGCTGGAGTGCAGTGGTGCAATCACAGGTTATTGCAGCCTCAAACTCCTGGACTCAAGTGATCTTCCCACCTCAGCTTCCTGAGTAGCTGGGACTACAGGCACGTGCCACCATACTCAGCTAAATTTTTTTATTTTTTGTAGAGATGAGATCTTGCTATGTGTTGAAGGGGTGTTGAATTTTACTGAGGGCCTTGAGTGAGACCCTTACTCAAACTCGACACTTCATTTTCATCAATGAAGTGTACATTACCCAAGCCCTCATGTGGCTCTCCCAGAAGCAGGACAATGGCTATTTCAGGACTTCTAGATCACTGTTCAACAATGCCATGAAGATCATCTCTTTTGTGTGCTAGTTATGAACCTGCTGACTCACCAGTCCATGGCGATTTCTCTAAGGGTAAAGACATGTAAGAAGAAGGTGCAAGAAAATTCCTACAGGAAAGGACTGGAGAATATGGAAGGGCAATAGCAAAGGAGAAAAAAGCCACTCACCAAGGAAAAAGAAATGGAATCTAAGTTGAGAGTGGAACTTTGAACAGTGGGAATATAGATGAGAGGAATTGTCAAGGAATCATAGAAGAAAACAGATTAACCATGAAGAGAGAAGACATCTTTAAAGGTTTCCTGATGTAGAGTTAATTTCTCTTTCTCTCTCTTATATTCGCAAAGAAGAGTAGAAGATGAAATGACCCTCTCTGCCTATATCACCATCTCCCTTCTGGAGATTCCTCTCCCAGTCACTGTAGGTACCACATTCATTTCCCAGCTTCCTATGCTGCTATGAAACCCAGTGACCTATGTATTACCAGAGGTTGATATGAGGTTATAATCATATTGCCTATGGTTATAATATTAATAACACTCCTCTAAAAGTCAAGTGACAGCTTTTCTTTTGCACAACACTATGCATCATATTTGTCATTCCTTCAGGAGGATCCACTTGTTCAATAAAGCCCTGGATTATGTGCCAAAACTAATCCATCCAAAGCACACGGCCTTTAGCCTTGCTTTTGTCAGTTTACATTTTAATCAGAAAGCAATTCTTTTTATTTTTTAAAAAAGAGTGATTCCTAAAAAGATGGTCAGGGAATAGATAAATGGATGGATGGATAGATAGTAGGTAGGTAGGTAGGTAGGTAGATAGATAGATAGATAGATAGATACATAGATAGACAGATATGAAAAGCACTGGTATCACCTATCTTATAGTCTTTATGTTTATTCTAGGACCTGGCAGGACCCCTTTTTATATAAGTCAAAATACCATCATTCTGTCTTCACCCTGTTGTCAGCAATGCCCTATTCTGCCTGGAGTCAGCCTGGAAGTCAGCAAGGGAAGGGGCCCATGGCAGCCACGTCTACACCAGGGCACTGCCGGCCTATGCTTTTGCCCTGGCAGGTAACCAGGACAAGAGGAGAGAGATACTGAAATCCCTTGATGAGGGCCAGGAGTTCAAGACCAACCTGGCAAACATAGCAAGACCCCATCTCTATTAAAAAAAAAAATTCTATTTTTCTAACAGAAAAAAGATTCCCAATTCAACAACACTCTTCAGAAACTTTATCTGGCAGCTACTCAGGAGATTGAGATGGGAGGATCACATGAAGCCCAGGAATTCAAAACCAGTCTGGGCAACATAGTGAGATACTATCTCATAAAAAAATAAAAAATAAAAAACGTTTTACTTGGAATAGAACCCATGACTCTGGTTATAAATACAAAATCCTTCAAACTCGTTTAAAGGAATTTAATCCCAACTTCTCGGATGAAAAGAAGAAACAATATTCACAATTTGATCCATCATCAATAGACAAATTAAATGTGTTTCATAAAAGCAAGACGTAATAATTAAGCAAAATCATATTCAAGTAACCACAGGAAATGTAAATACAGATACTGTCTCTTACCTAGAGAAATCTTATAGTCTAATTGTGAAGATAGTCTTCACATGACAGAAAAGGATCATCGTTAATCCAAAACACATAAGTTATAAAGAAGTGACATATACCAGCAATTCTAAAATCTGGTTAGCATCCTTTGTAGAATTTATTTTAAAATGCAGATTTCCAGGTCTCATCAATAAAGATTTAATTTATTATTTCTGAGGATGTACTTAGACATCTGTATTTTTTTTTGTTTTTTG